GCCGCAGTGCTGAGCTGTCGTGCGCGGGACGATGGGCGCCGGGCGGGCGCTGCTGGCTCTGGCCGTGCTGGCGGCGGCGGGCGCGCAGTACGAGCGCTACAGCTTCCGCAGCTTCCCGCGGGACGAGCTGATGCCGCTGGAGGCCGCCTACCGCCACGGCCTGGAGCTGTACGGCAGCGAGCAGTGGCCCGAGAGCGTGGGCTACCTGGAGGTGAGCCTGCGCCTGCACCGCCTGCTGCGCGACAGCCAGGCCTTCTGCCACGCCAACTGCAGCGCCGGCCCCGCCGCGCTGGCCGCCCGCTTCGCCGGCTTCCCCGAGCTGCGCCTCTTCGCCGACGTGCTGCACCGGGCGCAATGCCTGCGGCGCTGCAAGCAGGGGCTGCCCGCCTTCCGCCAGTCCCAGCCCGGCCGCGACGTGCTGCACGACTTCCGCGCCCGCGAGCCCTACAAGTACCTGCAGTTCGCCTACTTCAAGGTAGCCGCAGGGCGCTCCGGGACCGCTGGCACGGGGGGCGTCCCCTCCGCTGGCCCCGGGGAGGATGCGGCTGGGCCACCGCTATAGAAAGGGGGGGGGTCAAAGTGGAGAAGGAGCTGAGGTCCTGTGTCCAGATGTGTGTGTCCCGTCTGTCCCCCACTACAGAAAGGAGGGGACAAGTTGGAGAGAGAGCTGGAGTCTTCTGTCCAGTTCGAAGGGGGGGGGGTGCGCACGCACGCTACAGAAAGGAGGAGATAAGATGGGGAGAGAGCAGGGGTCCTCTGCATAGTTGCGTGTGTGTTGTCCACTACAAAAAGTAGGAGGACAAGTCAGAGAGGGTCCAGCAGAGGGCAATGAAAATGGTTCTGGGGCTGGGGGACATGACATGTGAGGACAAGTTGAGGGAACTGGACTTATTTGGTCCCCAGAAGAGAAGGCTGAGAGGGGATTTGATAGTGGCCTACAACTGCAACTTTGAAGAGGATAGTGCTGGACTGTTCTCAGTGGTGGCAGGTGACAGGACAAGGAGCAATGGTCTCAAGTTGCAGCAAGGGGTATTTAGCTAAGATACCAGGCAAAACTGTCACATGAGAAGTGAGGTGAAGCACAGGAGCAGGTGACCCAGGGGGGTGGTGGAATGTCCAGAGTCTTCCTCCATTTGGAGTGGTCCTGGGCAATAGTCTCTCACAATTGACATTGGTGTTGCATTTTTTGAAGTTGGCCTTGAGTGCCAAGGTAAGGGAAGTTTAGGTTAGATATTAGGAAAAACTTTCTCACTACGAGGGTAGTAAAGCACTGGAACAGGTTACCCAGAGAGAAAAATGGGGGAGAGGAAGAAAGATGGGGCCTACTTTTTTCTGGAATACCAGCCTAAAAAGTTTTATTGATGGTATAGCATTGTAAGGTATGATATTCTTTAGAACTACTGCTTGAAAGCTCGCTTTATCTGTTCAAATGCCTTTGCTATCTGGGGAAACTTGTACAAAACATACAGCTGTAACACTCCTAAGGACATTTTTGCTCCACTGTAACAGGGCTGTTTTGTTATAGCTTAAATCTTTTCTCACCTGAAATAAAGCAAACTGAAAAAAGTCCCTTTATACAGGAAGAAGCACGCTGATGTGTGCACTCTTGTATTGGCATGGCTACGTCAGTCTAAATTTGTATCTTAGATCGTACCAAAAAAATTGCCAAGGTCTTGTCTCCATAGGTAACTTCCTGTTGGATAGCAGTTAGCGGGCATGAGGTGCCAAATAGAGGCCATCCCTTTGAAAAATAGTCACTCTCCTGATTTTTAAACCAATACACAGAAGTCACTTTATCCCATACTTAGCAGTCATCGTTCATTCTGCCTGCCTTCATTATCCATTCCCCGTGCAATGAATTAGGAGTTTGCAAAGTACATATCAAATTAGTAAAAGTATTGGTGTAAAATCTGTTCCTACATAAGTGTCCCCAGTCCAGAACTGCCAGCAATTTATTTGTAAGTGTGCTCTGGGGGAGCACACTTGTCATCCTTTAAGCTACTACATTAATTCTTTTGATGGGACATATTAAGTAATGCTCTAGGCTATATAGGTTGGTGTCTCTTACTCATATGTTGTTTGAGTTATATGTGTAATCCACTTTTTAACTCTATTGCCAATTTTAAGTGCGTGGGTTCTGCCTTCTAGGAATTTTACAGATAGAAATCACTGGGCAAGAACCGTTTTCTGCGTTGAAGGTTTTTGTTAACAAAGAAATGTCTGCCGTTTATTCCCTCTCTCCCTACTCTCTCTGTCAACACAGAGTAAAACTTTTTAGGGTGAGTTTGTATTTGTGAATGGCAGAGAAATCTTGCCACGTCTTGGGTCCCAGGAGCAGACATTTTTTTTCCTTGAGCTTGCTCCTCTTGAGGGCTGAGTCTGTCATTCTTCAATCTGCTGCATTTTTCTTTTCTTTCTTTTTTTTTTTAAATGAAGCAAGCTGAGTCTAAAAAAAAATCCTAAACTAAGCAGAAGATAAATAAATCTCATCCTACCAGCAAATAAGCTTGAAGCAGACAGCACAAGAGGAGAAGCAGAAATGGGTATTTGACGAAACTGCAGCTGAGATTTTCCCCTTGCGTTTAGCTATGTCTGGACAAGCACATAACTATGAGCAGGGCAGGAAATGCTCCTGGCTACATTCCAGGCCTTTGACAGTTAGAGCTGACAAGCAGCAAAGCTAGTTTTAAGGGTGATACTCCATTTCTTAGTATCTCAGTTTTTTGAGAGTTTTGTGGTGTGCTTGTTCTACCTTTTTTTGGTCATGGTTTTACAAAGTCTGTTTGCATAAACTAATGGTGCCCAAGCTTGAGAAGTGTTGCCAGGTTTATCCATGGCCTGGATCTGATCCACATGCTCAGTCTGGCACACAGGGTGGTCACAGCCAGAACCTGATCCAGCATCCAGGGCAGGAGTAGTTGAGGATTGGTCAAGCCATGTGGAGATGGCCCAGGACCAAATGAGCCACGTGGGACTTGGAAATTTGGTGGCAGAGGAGCAGTGGCAGTGTTAATTGCCACCACTCCCCCTTGCTAAATTTCCAGACCCCTGGGGAGCCCTGCAGGCCAGATTGCACAGCTCTGTGGGCTGCATTTGGCCCACAGGTAGAGGCACCCCAGCATAAATTGTTTCAACTATTATAAGGACCTCTCTGCCTGTACTTGTTGGATCTTGACTTGTCATAGCATGGAGAGAGAATGAATTAGACCTATAAATATATTCAGTTATTTCTTTTTCTTTTTTTTTTTGGTTTAGGTTTTTTTGCCCCTGACACACAGTTTTAGGTTAGAAATGCATGTTTAGTTTATTATTTCTAATGTGGCTTTAAACAAACTATGTCAATTTAAAATCTGGTCAATTAAACAAGAAATCTTACCAAAGGATGCATCTGCACAGGAGTCCAGCTGCTATGTTGTAAGTTTTAAACAACGTGTTCCTATTTTTGCTAATAGTTTTCCTCTCCCGTTACTCTGTGAATGAGCTCCACAGATAACAAAAGAACCTGTCAGATTATGAGCCTAATACAGCACCCAGAGTTTCATGTGAATAATTAGTGTGACCTTACAGAAGAACATGTTAATTTTTTTGCCTTGTCAGTTTCATGAACTGGTAGGGAAAAATAAAACTATATTTTCTCCATTCTCTCTGATTAATAATCTTAGATTCCATTTGCAGCAATAACAAATGAATGAAATACGCTGAACAGGGTGGTAACAATAGATCTAATAAGAATCACGTCGGCTTTATTCTGCTGACACTTTGGGCTGCCCCCTCACTAGAGCTGTGGCTTCATAAATTTGCTTTGTTTTCCTCTATCATCTTTTTTCTGGATAGTGGGTATCTTATTTCTTTTTCATGCCCCAAAATATAGTCCTGTCAGACCAACCTGGTGGCCTTTTATGATCAGATCACCAGATCATTAGATGCAAGGGTAGCAGTGGACATAGTCTTCCTGGACTTCCGGAAGGCTTTTGACACTGTCTCTCACCCTGTTCTCATTAAGAAACTGGGGGGCTGTGGTGTAGACACCCACACAGTCAAATGGGTTGCCAACTGGCTGGAGGGCCGCACCCAGAGGGTGGTAGTGGATGGGTCCTTCTCAACCTGGAAGGACGTGGGCAGCGGGGTTCCGCAGGGCTCGGTCCTTGGGCCCGCCCTGTTCAACATCTTCATCAGTGATTTGGACAAGGGAGTAAAAAGCACCCTGTTCAAATTTGCTGATGACACTAAGATGTGGGGGGACGTGGGCACACTAGAAGGAAGCAACAGGCTACAATCAGACCTAGACAGGTTACAAGGGTGGGCAGATGAGAATAGGATGGGATTCAACACAGACAAGTGCAAGGTGATGCACCTGGGGAGGAACAACCGACAACATACCTACAGGTTAGGGAACTCCCCTCTTGTCAGCATGGAGGCGGAAAAGGATCTTGGAGTCATCATTGACTCCAAGATGAACATGGGCCGGCAGTGTGGGGAGACAGTTAGGAAGGCCAACTACACCTTGTCGTGCATCCACAGATGCATCTCGAGCAGGTCCAAAGAGGTGATCCTCCCCCTCTATGCGGCACTGGTCAGGCCGCAGTTGGAGTACTGCGTCCAGTTCTGGGCGCCGCACTTCAAGAGGGATGTGGACAGCATGGAGAGGGTCCAGAGGAGGGCCACTCGCATGATCAGGGGACAGCAGGGCAGGCCCTATGAGGAGAGGCTACAGGACCTGAACCTGTTCAGCCTCCAAAAGAGAAGGCTGAGGGGTGATCTTGTGGCCTGTTATAAACTAGTCGGGGGGGATCAGCAGGCATTGGGGGAGTCACTGTTCCTCCGAGCACCGCCAGGAGTGACCAGGAATAACGGTCACAAGCTGGCAGAGGGTAGGTTTAGGTTAGATATCAGGAGGCGCTACTTCACGGTCAGGGCGGCTAGGGTCTGGAACCAACTTCCAAGGGAAGTGGTGCAGGCTCCTACCCTGGGGGTTTTTAAGAGGAGGTTAGATGAACACCTTGCTGGGGTCGTTTGACCCCAGTACTCTTTCCTGCCATGGCAGGGGATCGGACTAGATGATCTGCTCAGGTCCCTTCCGACCCTAGAAACTATGAAACTATAGCACTTTACGCACTTTATAGTGTTTATTATAAGTTATTCAAACTTTAAGTTTCTTTACTCATAGACAATGTCTTCTTCTGGGTCAACACTTAAAGAAACCAGATCAAATATAATACTTCAATACAGGGGTGTCAAACTTACAACTCACATAATGGATCAGGCCCCTGTAGCTGCTACATCCAGCCTGCTGGGCTACTGGCATGGGCCAGGGAATTAGGGCATGGGGTCTGTCATGACATCAATAACCGTGATGGACATGAGAGCCGTGCCAGCACTGCCCCACTCACTTTGCGAACTCTTAAGGCCACTGCTGTTCACCATATATCCACTTGACCACAGCTGCTTGCCCTGCCTCTGCCATAGCAACCAACCACTTGGCTTGCTTTTACCAGTCCTGCTAGACCCACCATGTACCCTGGGGATCCAATCCACGTGAAGTCCCTTGGTCTGAATCCAGCCCAGGGCATGGGGTGAGTTTGACACCAGTGCTTTAAAATAAGTTTAGAGTAGGTAGGCAATAGGGAGTCAAGTGATCTGCTATGATCAAAAATATGGCATGTCTGCATGCCTTGCAGTACACCTGGGGTATAATTTCAAAATGAATGCACATTTCTTTTGCTGTGGTAGATGCCAAAAATGATAGTCCTGCTGAAAAAAAGAACAAGATTAGGGAAAACTCCTCTTCAAATCTGCAAGGAAAATGTGTGTCTTATTCTGGTTATTCCAATGTTGAATGTGATTCTGTTTATTAAAATATGGGGGGGGTTGTTAATTTTTAAACTATATTTACCTGCTGGCTCACTTTGATATGAATTTGTTGTTTCTAAGGTAGGCATTGCAAATGGAATTAAGTTTCCATAACTTAATAAATTCTGTATATTGAACATAAATATATACAGAGAGAAACACCAAGGGAAAGTTTGATGACAGAAGAACAGACAAACTTTAACAAACAAACTTCTTTTTAAAAGCTTCTTTTCTTGCTGTTTTAGGCCAATAATCTTCCCAAAGCCATAGCAGCAGCTCACACATTCCTTCTGATGCATCCAGATGATGAAATGATGCAAAGGAATATGGCTTACTATAAGAGCATGCCTGATGCCGAAGAGTACATTAAAGACTTGGAAACAAAGTCATTTGAGGTATATTCTCTACCCATCGTCTGTTCTCCTGAGTACCTCTCCATGAATCTGGTCAAGGTCTTTATCCTCCAGTATAATCTTCCTCTCAATTTTTTGTCTGATTCTCAACTCACTCCCTGTTTTCCTCCCAACCATCCCTCTGTTCCTTTTTTTTCTTCTTTTCACAATCAGTAATTCTTGCCGTTTATTTCACTGTCCTGGAAATCCAAGTAGCCTACATACAATAGTGTTCAAACTAAAGCTCAGATCCTACTTGGGTCTAAGCTTTTAGTAAGATTGTGTAAGAGTAGCCCATTGAAATTGGTAGGTTTAAGCAAGTGTATACAGTTACTCAGCTATGCAAGTATGCACAGTATTAGAATCTGAGATAACCAAGACAGTAAGCAAGCCATTCAGACATCGCTGAAAATACCTTTCTTAACAATTGTTTGCAGCTTAGGGTTACATTGTAGTCTCCACTGCAAGGGCCTCAAATATCTGAAATGAAATCACAGCATCTGCTCTCTGTTAAATACCTGAAAAATTTCCTTGATTGTTCCTAGGTATTTGAATAACTGAAGTTGTACTATAATTGAAAACTGAGCCGCAATCAATCGTTAAGATATCTATTTTCAGTGACGTCTGAATGACTTGCTCACTGTCCTAGTTATCTCAGATTCTGATACTGTGAACACTTACATAGCTCAGAAATTAACCACTAGATAGATCTCTTAACACTACTACTGTTTCACAGGTTAGAAACTAATGCACCTCATTTCTGCCTGGTTTCCAGAATCTCTTTGTCAGGGCAGTGAGAGCATACAATGGAGATAACTGGAAGACATCCATCTCAGATATGGAGCTGGCACTTCCTGATTTTTTCAAAGCTTATGATGACTGCATAGCAACCTGTGAAGGTTCCCGAGAAATTAAAGATTTTAAAGAGTTTTATCTCTCGATAGCAGGTAAGTAGTTCACAGGACCTTAATTCCTGCAAAGGAGTCTTGAATTAATATTTTACTTGTCACTGTTATATCTGCATGAGCATGTAACAATATAAGTGTAGCAAAACTGCTCCAACTTTTATACTGCTTCATTCAGGGTCAAAGTGAGGGAGATTTAACTCGTATTACTGTGGGCTTATTTAGACATAATAGTTGTTACAGCGTTAACTGCTGTTGTGTGCTTTTGAACTCAGCCAGGGCATATGCTCAAGAAGAGGGCAGAAAAAGCACTTCAGGGACGTATCATAGAATCATAGAAAATTAGGGTTGGAAGGGACCTCAGGAGGTCATCTAGTCCAACTTCTGCTCCAAGCAAGGTAATCCCCAGTTAGATCATCCCAGCCAAGGCTTTGTCTAGCCAGGTCTTCAAGACCTCCAGGGATGGAGTTTCCACAACCTCTCTGAATAACCTGTTCCAATGCTTTACTACCCTTCTAGTGAGAGTTTTTTCCTGATATCTAAACTAAACTTCCCTTGCCTTGGTCCTCAAGGCCAACTTAAAAAAATGCAACATCAATGCCAACTCTTGGGAGACTATTGCCCAGACCACTTCAAATGGAAGAAGAGTGTGCTGCAGGGATCTCAGTATTTTGAAACCTCATGACAACAACAGGAGATGAAAAAATGGGAGTGACAAAAACGATGTGTTGCGGGGCAAATCAAGAATCTAGTGCCACCCACTGCACACAGAAACACATGTCTGAGCTGCAGTAGAGACTATTGATCCTGGGTAGGCCTCATCAGCCATCTTGGGACACACAGATAAGATAATCATGGAAGACAATCATCCTCTGTGACGGATTGCTGAAGAAGGTCCTGGACAGCACCAACTCCTCTCATTTTGAAGGTGTTACGAAAGCATATTTGTCCATGCCATTTAATGCCTACCGTATGTGGGTACTGATGCTTAAAGGGTTATTGATGGCAAGGATTTCAAGATCTATGAAGGAGACAAGCTTTTTAGAGATGTATCATAAAATGATTTATTTCTTTTGGTCCTAACCTGTTCTGCTCAGCAGTTCTGTGCTTTATAAATAAATTTATAAATCACAATTTAGGCTCTTTCTGAATGAAAGATATTCGGTGAATAAAACCCATCAGCATATTGTCATCTGTTTATTTTTATTCAGAAAGGGAGGCAAAACAATGAGAGGCCAAAAGGTACCCTCTATAGGGCTGTTTTGGAATATCACTGGTATTTCTTTTGGACATAACAGTAATGTAGTGTATTTCTGCCAATCTGCCTTTTGAAATTTTATCTTGGTGTTGGTCTAGATGGTGTCAGCTGAAAAATCATATGGTCAATGCTGATGAGTAAGAGCCTTTGCTGAGATGATGGAAACTTGTCAAGTGCTTTTCTTATCGGTATTTTACTCAAGTCACCCTTCCACTAGTCAAGATCTGTGTTTATCTGAATGTTCCAGTTTCCAGAGTATAAGGTACATGGCTCCTTTGGGTTATATACTAGGGTTATATCATTCTGACTTGCCCAGAGACAGAGATTGTCTCCTTTGCTACTATTAATAGAGTATCCCCAATCTTGGCATTGTCAATTTAGACACCAGCATGTAAGGTTGTCTGGTTGTAAAGAGGCAGGGATGTGACTGACAACATGGCAGGGAGGGCCTTGTATATATTGATGATTATGTTGCACTCTGAGAGGTGTTATGTCCATTGGTAGTGTATGGCAGGTTGTTTCTAATGAAGGTATGGCCATGGATCCCGGATCTTGCTGGCAATAGAGTCTGCAAGTCTGTAGCCTGAAAGTTTAATCTTCCAAAGCTGCTTTATATGTGTTTCTTGTAGAAGGATTGCACGTGGTTTCATTTTCCTGGTGATGTGTTCCAGCACTGATTGCTTGAGTGAGGTATATATAGCCTTCAACATAGGTAGCAGAAGTAGGAACCCCTTATTGGTAGGAGAGGTTGCTCTGGCTCATCCTGTAGTTAGTATATCAAAATTGGAAAGTACATTGTACTGAAATGGAAAAAACCAAAAGTATGATTGCCCTGGTAGTGATTTTTAGTTTTACTTTATAGCTATTCATGGGAGGCACCATGAGAAGTTGTCACACTAAAAAGCTTGACACTACTTAACAGTGTACTGAGATTCATAATAGGCTGCACAACTTACAAGCAGATGTACTCCCTGTACTCTCAGGGCATTTTTACAGATAAAAGTGCTGCAGCATTGGGTGCTTTGAAAAGCACCCACAGTTGTATAAGTGGCAGAATGCATATCAACACTGAGAAAATGGCAGTGGTGTGCTTTTGAACTAAAACACATAGAAGGTGCTTTAGTTCAAAAGTGTGCCACTGTCATTTTCTGCATGCTGACATGCATTTTGCTGCTTATACAACTGCATGCGGCACAGTGCAGTTCGCATCAGCTCACATGTGGAGCAAACTTGATTAATCGAGTCTGCTCCGAAGTGGCGGATCTCCAGCATGTCACAGGACAAAACGGTATGTGTATAAATGCCCTCAAGCATTAGACCCAGTGATGTAAGACAGGCCCTAACATCATTACTGGCAATACAGGCAAGAGATCATGAAAATCACCTGCTTCATCAATTGTTACCTGAAGATCCAAATAGATAGAGGCTTTAAGAGGTTTAAAAGTCATAAACCATTTATACATGAAGTTCACAAGCTCCTGAAAGAGACTGGGGATGCTGAACCAAGCCTATGGCCAGCAATGGAGAGGGCCAACCACTGGGAAAGACCTATTCCTACAGCATTTTATACTAACACCAAATGAGTTCCCATTGGGTGTGACCTTGACAGAGATGTGTGGGTCAAGCTGAACGGACTGAGATCTGGATACAGACATGTAAAAACAACACTTCACAAGATGAACATCTTGGGCAGCCCCCAGTATGAATGTGGTGTCCAACAAACAGCACAGCACTTAATTGAAAGCTGCAATCTTTACAAATGCCCAGATGAGGAAGATGGAATCTGCACATTGGGCTATAATACCAGACAGTTGTTCATAGATTTGGAAGTTGATATCTGATGCCATACAGAAGACAGAGAAACTAGTGTAGCATACCAGTCTTGCAATTTTATTTACTACTTTTTGTTACAAAATAAAGTTACTAGCCATCCGAAAATATCACTGTTAAAAATATGTAATATACATTACACACATACAACAGTAGTCCATTTCACTTGATGTAAAGTGTCTCACCACAGGCTGTCTATAGGGATCAGTAAAACCTGTTTACTGGGATTGCAGTTTTTGATGTAAACGTCTTAATCCTAATCATGTAGACGTGCTGAGTACCAACACCTCTCCTATAGGTCATTTAGAACGGTGAGTGCTCCATACCACTAAACGTTAGTCCTTTGGTGTCTGGCCACAGGGATCAGTATAGAGCCAAAATACTTTCGGGACCTGGCTGGAGGTGACATGTAAGAAATGACAAATTGCTTTTTTATGGTTTCTGTTTTTCTTTAGATCACTATATTGAAGTCCTTGAATGCAAAGTGCAGTGTGAAAGTAACCTGACACCAGTCATTGGAGGCTTCGTTGTAGAGAAATTTGTAGCAACCATGTACCATTATTTACAGTTTGCCTATTATAAATGTAAGTAGTGATTTAAATATAGGTGTGATGTTACAGGCAAGTTTTCTTCCTTCCTAGTTTGTCTCAGAATTAATGGCTTCCACTGACTTCTCGAATCTGTAGTTAATCTATTCCAGGCCTCAAAATCGAAGTCACCTCTTTTGTGTGTAACTGTTGCTGACATCCAAGGGAAAAAAGCCCCCAAAGGCAAAAGAAGAAGAGAATGCAAGTCATTTTAAGGCCAGATCCTAACAAGGATGATCCCCTCAGTTCTTATCTTAGGTCACTGATAGACTATGGGGCAGACAGGGTGGGGAAGTGCTTTACTGGAAGAGGAAGTGTGCCAATTTGACCTCATTCCCCAACATAAGTATAGAGCAAGTGCTTCAGCAGGGTTTTTTGGAGGCTTCTATCTAAAAGAAGATTGAATCACTGAAGCATACTGATCTGTACAGATGTTGGGTGAACTGGATCAAACTAACTCAATACCTCTTCTGGGTATGCACTGCACTTGGCATGGGGGCTTGCCGAGCCGAAAGTAAACCGCTGTTTTTTGAGGGGGGGGTTTCATGTCTGTAAGCAGCCTCAGTGGCAGGAATCAAAGGAAATGCCTGGCCATTACTCCTCTCTACCCAGGCTCTAAGTAGAGAAATGATAGAATTTGCATTTCAAATAGACATTTGCAGAAGAAGTGTGATTTATTCTGTCAAATTCCTTATCACTTTTACAGGTTAAACAAATTGCTCTATCCTTCTTAGAGATAAGCTAGAGATTTTTTTCACCTATGTGAAATATATGAAGTGACTCCTATCCTCCATTACTGTAGTATCTGAGCCCTAAATTGCCTCAGTATTTTTATTCTCACGAGACCCCTGTGAGGTAAGGTAGTGCTATTACTTACCTTTAGGGTTTTTGCCATCCTCTGTAGTCGGGGTTGACACTCTTCCTTGGCTCTCTCAAGTGTTTTTTAACAACCTTTGTAGCAGCAGGACATTGGCCACCATGGTCTCCCTGCTTTATCTGTGGTGGATTAGAGTGTTATGTCTTGTGGTTGTATCAGGATTGACTGTGTAGTTTTGCTAATAAGTTAAACCAGGAGCGCTCAACCTCCAGCCCACAAGTCAGATCTGGCCCACGACATTGTGTCTTTTAGACAGTGGAGCTCCTCACGAGTCCAGAAATTTGGTGGTGGGGGAGTGATAGTATTGCTCCTATCCTGCCAAACCTCTGGACCCATGGGAAGCCCCAGATCCTGTGTACTGGATCCGGCACCCAATCCCAGTGCACAGGGCTGGGCAGGGGCAGCACCTGGCTCTAGGGTTCAATTCCAATTTGTGGGAGGCAGAAGGCAGTGTCAGACCCCCAGGTCCCAGTCCTGGTGCAAAGGGGACAGGAGGGTGTAGTGCCAGCACCCCGTAACCCAGTCCTAGCACACAGGGGTAGGAAGGGGCACTCACAGGCCCCAGTACCCAATCCCATGGCCTTCCTGTATCATACTGGGCAAGTCTCTTCATCTGTTTGGGCTTCAGTTATCACAGAATCATAGAGACCTAGGGCTGGAAGGGACCTTCAGAGGTCATCCAGTTCAACCCCCTGCCTGTAGAAATGCCACAGGATAAAGGGAAGATTACCCAACCTGTGGGAGTCTCTGCTGTTTTGTATGGTTGAGGGGAAAACTTATCCTGTTTCCCTTCGAATGTCATGAGTTTGCATAATAAAGGGAAGTGGAGGCCATTTGCTTATTTACTTTTTCCTCCTGTAATTAATTTAGTGAATGACATGAAGAATGCAGCTTCTTGTGTTGCTAGCTACATGCTCTTTGACCAGAAAGATCAAGTAATGAAACAGAACATGGAATATTATAAATATCATAAAGACAAATGGGGACTCTCAGAGGAAGATTTCCAGCCTAGACCGGTAGGTTTGATGGATAAACTGCCTCCAAAATACATTCTGATATTGCCCCATAATCCAAGAAAATGTAAGTTTTGGTATAGAAGAATTATCTAGTATTTTTTTCTGTCAAACACAGTTTGTGAAATATCTGTTTATTGTGTCAGGCAACCTGTGTAGAACAAGGTTTCCATAATTCTTTATTCTGTGGGGGAGGGCTAGAGCCCAAAATTTGCCATAGACCCCACCTCCCAGTGCTGCTGCCTCCCCCTCCTGCCCAGTCTGAGTGCAGCCACTAGGAAGAGGCTGGAGAAGCCCCAGGCCTGAGTGCACAGCAGCAGTCCACCCTCACCCCATGGACAGATCCAGGGGTCATATGCCCCCCATGCCTTCCCCAGGGATGCACACAGTGGCAGGA